CAGTTACGAGGCTCGCTGGGTGATTCTAGTGATCCCGAAAAAATGTTGATCCCAATTTTCTTTATCCTGAATTAAAAAGTTGTTCATGCGCGCTTCCAACCACAAGATTCCTATTACGAATAATACTTCCCACCAATTCTCAAAAACCCCGATTGCTCTATTAAGTCCTACTTCATAGCCATTTCGAGAATTTCTGCGGATAAGAGTGGCGAGACGTCTTTCTTTCCTTCCTTCCTTCCTTCCTTCCTTCCTTCCTTCCTTCCCTTCTTCCCTCCTTCCCTTGTTTCCCGTCTTTCCCTTCTTCCTTTCTTACTTGCTCCCTTCCCTTCCCTTTTTTCATGGCTTCCTTCCTTCCTTCCAGCCTGCCCGTCCTTCCTGCTTTTCTGTCTGTCTTACTTGTTTTTCTTCCTTCCTTGCTTCCTGCCTTCCTTGCTTCCTCGCTTCCTTTCTCTCTGCTAGGATATTTTGGTTTTTTGATCCTCCCGTGCGCCGGCTGGGGGGGGCGGTTTTCCTTTGATGTCTCTCTATATTTTCTAGTTTCTTTTTGATCCTTATTGGTTTTTTGATCCTTATTTTGTTTTTTGATGCACATCCCGTCGCGAAAAGGCCCACTCTCCCGCTTCCCTTTTTGAAATGAAGCCAGTTTGGAATGCTTGTGGATGGCTCTGAAGGCATGATTCATCGATTCCTCCTCCGCAAGTCCGCAACTTTCGAACAGCGCGGATGAGGAAGAGTGCGCGACCGGAACGTTTTGACCCAGTGCCTGACAGAGCTCAGTAAAATATGCAGGCGATCGGAAGAATTCGAGTTTTTGCCAGCACGCTGCCATGCCTTGGCAATACGGTGGCGTTCCAGGGGACGCAGAGCAAGAGCTTCAGCCAGCGCCTGCCATGCAGAGAAGACCTGGGCGAAAAAAAGAAGAAGTTCGATGTTTCGGGGTGCTCTGATAACTTCACCCGCTCCGGCCTGCTCCAAGCTGGTATGGCCTTGCCTTCAGACAGGTAAAGGCAAAGCCATATGCGGCTGGCGTGCAGCAAATTTCAGCTGGTGCTGTATGCGCAAGCAGAGTAAGGAGAGCGCCTCTTACACCAGTCACGAGCGCGAGATTCGCAGTATTCCAGCTTGAGTGACGCCAACCAGGAGTCCAGCCCTGCAATGTCCTTCGCTTCCGAAGCACTTCCCAAAGCCTGCCCAGAGCTGTTGGAAGCCTGAGCCCCCAGAGCACAGTGAAGTAGGGCGACGCCGGCTTCTGCCTTCTTCACCTCAACGCGGGGTCAGAGAGTCAAGTTTTCGTCAGCGTCAGAGCGTTAGCATCAGAAACGGCCTGCTCCAGGCTCAATGGCCCATCGCTGGACATAGGATGGACATCTCCGCAAGGCGAGCCATGCGAGCCTCCCCTGAAGCCTTCAACCTGAGCCTGTAGCCTGCAGCCAAATGGCTCGCATCACGCAGATTCCCTGGTCTCCATACAGTACGAGAATTATGATTTGCTGAAGCATGCGGGCATGTCGCTTCTATTGCACCTGCCTCTGCTACTCCTGCGCGGTATCCCTGGGCCATTTTCCCACCTGGCATCATCAATGCCATGCGAGAAGCTGTGCGCGCTAGAAGCATGCCTCGAAGTTTGTCCACAGTCAACACATGGGACGGGAAACTGGTGAGGCAATCTGTTCCAGCTGTGTGCATACAAATTCGCGCAAGTTATGGCTTTGTTTTAGCGCTCCCTGATTCTTGAGCTGTGCCGCTTCTGGCAACACATCTTGATTTCTATGACAATCTCAACCTACGGCCGACAGGTGCTTTGATCAAGTGTTGACGTGGCATCATGCGCAGCTCCACTGCAGCTCAGTCCGCTTTCACGATGCAAGCTCTCCAGTTTTGCATGCAGTGCGACCCCTAAAGGGAGTATGCCGAGAAAGGCAAGACTGATGGTGAAAGTTCGACAGTGCGCCTGTTATAGACGACTTCTACCTGTGGCCTAATCTATATTTTATCTTGGAGCTTACATTGGCAAACACACATTATCTCGTTCCATCTGCGGCCCCTATCTAGTTCCCAAAGGAAGAGATTCAAAAAGAACGACGCGCCAAGTCTTCCACTCTCCTGCGTAAATCAATGCGGCTGCTCGTATGTTGCTGCAGAGCATCAAGAGCTGCAGTTGCGGGCATGCTGCTTCCCCGTGTATGTTCCAATCTCTCGCGGGAAAAGAACTTTCGCCGAAGCTGTCAGAAGAGAATCAGCGGGTACTTTCTTGATCTGCACAACTCAGCTGCTCCTACTAGAGAGAAAGTCTCTGCGAGCTGGAGCCAGCAGGTAGTTGCACTAGGCTTAACCTCATGGCCTAGATGACGACGGAGGGTGCCAGCACGAATCCGCAGGTTCAGGAAGAAACCCTTGAAGCATCGAAGTGCTTGATCAAGATGGAAATCAGCCCTCTGAGAACTCCTTCAGGATCGCTTCCTGGGCTGCCACGAGCTTCCTGAGTGCTGCGCTGATGTGCTGCTCTTCCTCTAACTGCTGCTGGAGTTCCTGTTCTCGCTGTTCTCGTGCTCCGGCACGGGCTGTTGCCAATCTGGAAGAAGCCTCACGTTCTCTGTTTCTCATCTCCTGCTCATCCTCCCGCCGTGTCACATCCAAGGCTCGCAGTTCCACACGAAGGTTTTCCAACTGCGCCTCCAGCTCGGATTCGAAGATCTCAGGATTGCTTTCAAAGAGTTCCACCATCTCAGGGAATCGATGCACCTTCTCCCGAATTACGCTTGCAGTGCTTCGTGCATGCTGTTCCTCTGCTAGCTTGTCCTGGAGCTGCATCTGTTCGAAGGCCTGCAGCTTTGATGCAGAAAGCCGCAGAATCTCGGTTTGACGCAGCAAGACGCGTCTGGAGTCAGGCGGACGCGCACTGTGGTCGTGGTGATCTGGCTTGATGCTCTGCCACTGCCTTTCAGTTACAAGCAGTTCCCAACTTGAGATACTCCTTGACTCTGCTTCGTCGCATCTGCCACAAAGACAACCGTAAACGTGCCAGTCAGGGTCTGCTTTCGCACCCTTTGCCAAGGAAGACACGTGCCACGGCGGCGGATGCGGCGGGTGTAGGTGGCAAGAACGGATGGGCTGGTCCGGGTGGCTGCCTGGTGACGGTAAACTCCCCACCACTCTAGCTTCCACGCGGGGCAAGACAAGTCGAAGTGGCCTTAGGGGAACTGGTGCCATGAGAGATAGATCGACAACTACGTCACGCAGCACAAGATCCAGGTGCAGCACTGCCTGGGATGAGAGACTCAAACAATCCATATCTGTGCACTCCGACTTGGGCAAGGCGTCTGAGTAGTCAGGCATGAAAACTGACTCCAATGCCTCACTTGCCTCTTGGAAAATCGTTAGTATGCATCCCAAACTCTCCAAAGCCGCGGGATACGGACAGAGTTCAAGTCCATGCACACACGCCTCAGCATTCAAACTGACCGGCGCCTTCTCTCCAACAAGGCGCAGGCTAGCTGCCCACAAAGCTTTTGGGCACAATCTGACCAAAGAATGTCTGTCCTCCTGTACCAGAAAAAGCTCAAAGGAGCACAAAGTAACTGCACAGCTTCCGCTCATGCCAGGAGCTTCCACAATTTCATGGGCTTCAGAGCATTTCAGAACGCCTAATTTCTTGAGGCACAGCCTCTCTGGCACAGGCAACTGCATCAAACCTTCCAAAGTCAGGTTTAGATTCAGCATCTCCAAGATCACTTCCTTGCATTCCTTTGTATCTGCCGGCAGAATGACGGAGATTCTATTAAACGCAACATGCAGATTCAGCACGCGAAGATTGGGCAATCTCCACTTGCCCATGGCCAGATGGCTGCTGCAACCTTCCCCAATGCCTTGTTCAGAACTATGCGCTGCACCATCCTGGTCCAGAGCGATCTCTGCATCTTCATCTTCATCCTCGGCCTCCTCAGCATCTTCAGCATCATCAGCATCGTCAGCATCCTCAACGTCCTCGACATCCTCGGCATCCTGGACACGCTCATGATCCTCAGGATCCTGGGGATCGTCGACGTCCTCTTGGCACATGCTGCTGAACACCTGGTCTGCTGCACGCTGCTCATGCTCATCGATCTCATGGGTATCACGCGGAAATTCAGCTGTTGGCGCTTCCATGTCCTGCATTGAGAGGGCCAATGCCTGTGCGCTGCAGCAAGCAAATGAACCGGCGTCTATCTGATGGGCGCACACTACAAGTAGAATAGGATCTTTCCAATCCGTAGCATGTACATCCTGAGTCCTTGTTTCTGGCTGATTTACCGGACTTTGCGACGGTTCAGGATTCTGTGCTGCTTTTCCTGCAAGACCTGTTGCGCTAGGAGTACAGTATAGTATCTGCCGGCTATAGGTGTTACAAAGGCAAGAGGAAGCCATGATACATCAGCCTACCTGCATAAACACAGCAAAGCTTCCCGAGTGTGCCATTGCTGACAACTGATGATGAGGAGGGGGAGGCCTGTTGTTCAGCTTGGATCTGTCGATGCCTTGACTCAAAAGGTTCCAAGACCCTCTTTCCTTCCCTCGTCTCGTCAATGAGTTTTGCGCTCCTTCTGGGCTCTGATAGATTAGGCTGGCAGTGCCATGACTTTTTACTTTTAGGATCCGCACGCGGGAAGCCTGTTGCCAGGATGCGCTGCGCGCCAAAACATCTTTTGATCATGGCGTTCAGAATGTACAGGGTCGGGGGGGGAGGGCGGAGGCCAGGAAACATCATGTGCTGGACATACTGCTGTTGGAGTAAGCCTCAGCTTCAGAGGGTAGAACCTACATGCCTTGCCATATAAGCCCAACTAATTACATAGGGCTTGGGGCTCACGAGGATTCATTTGGTTCTTGGTTCCTGTTCGTTAAACATGCCTTGAAACTTCGACATTCAACTGAGACATCCTCACACGACCGAGGCCCATGAAACACTCCTCCAAGCCGAAAAAACATTCTGGGAGCCTTCTTACCAAGATGTCCTCAGACTCTGAAACACAACGATCAAAACCTTCTTCCCAGAATAGCCTGAAAGCATGATAACCGGTGAAAAAGCATGATAAGCTGTGAAAACCCAATCGAAACCCCTCTTGGAAGTGAATACGCAGGGAGAGATTCTCAGATTTCAGTTTCGGGTTCCTGGCTTGGATTGGTGCCTAGAAGTTGGAGGCTCAGGGCTTTGCAACGTAGAGTTTAGGGTTTGATTTTTGGGATGCGGGATGGGGTCGGGGGTGAGGCCTTTGCGTTAGGGATGCAGGCTTCGGCGCTTAGGTATCATTTTAGGTAGGCCGGGGTTAGTTAGATCGTGGCATGGCAGATTTGAGGTTCCGGGCCTAGAATCATCATTCTGTAGATCTTGGGCTTTGGGTGAAGCGTTTAGGAAGCCAGGACGTTGGATTTACATTGGGTCTAGCGGAATTCAAACTTGGGGCTGAGGATTGATGGTATGGGTGTGGGCGGGCGTAGGGTCTGGATTTCAAGGGTTCGAAAAAGGGCTGTCATCTTTTGGCGGGGAATGTTCACGGTCAGTGCCAAGCACGAGCGGATATGTCAAATACCATGGCAAAACTCAAACTCGGCAAAACCAATACCTTCAGCATGTGCGGACACGCAGCGCCATGTGAAGCGCATGCTCGCAAAGCCCCGACAGCAAAAAACAACAATTGCAAGTGAACCCGTCGACAACCTGCATTTGAAATCCAAACCCTGAACCCAAATCCTGAGCCCTGACCTCAAAGCTTGAGTGGTGGTGGCGCGCCATCTGGCTCATGTGTATTCAACTTCCTTGTTAGCTATCTACTAACATCCAAATCAGCAAGCAACGCCAATTCAGCAATAGCGCAGCCACCACCATGAGCGGCAGCAGCCTTGCCACCCCCACCACCAACAGCAGCAGCAAAGACGAGGAGGACGACGACGACGATGACCACAACGACAGTAACAGTAGCAGCAGCAGCAGCAGCAGCAGCAGCAGCAGCAGCGCCGCCAGCGCTGCCGCCGCTGCCGCCGCTGCCAACACCACCAACAACACCACAACAACTCCCGCAGCAGCGGTGGCGGCGGCGGCGGCGGCCTCGGCAGCAACGGTCATACCAACAGAAACAGCGGGAAAACAAAAAGAGGCACAGCCAGAAGAGACAAAAACCTCAACACGCCCTGGCGGGGACACACCCTGATTCCAGGAGCGATCCGAGTTACAAAAAGCGAGATGAACCCGGACGAAGAACGGGTCTCAATGGAGAACTCCAAAGGGCCTTAGATTGTTAGAGAAGCTGCCTGTTGAAACTGCAGCTCTTCCTGCTCCTCCAAACTCAGGGCTGCTGAGCGAGCAGACATTTCAGGAGCTGTTCCACAAGTCAGCGCCTTGGTGGTTGCACCTGCTGCGAATGGAAGCTTACCGCTCAGATTTCCACGCATGAAGGTGCCCAAGCTGCCCAAAGCTTTCTTGGACGTTGATGCTGCGTGTCCCAAGGCCTTTTCAGCTGCAGCCTGTCCAGTGCGTCGTGCACCGCCTAATGCTTGCGAAGCACTGTGTGTGGCACGCTGCGCTGCAGCTGCTGCGCGTTCAGCACTCTGAACCGCCACTGCAGCTGTTCGACGGGCCTTTTCAGCCGCTGCATCAGCAGCTGCTGCGGCATCTGCAACAGCACCAGTTGCAGCCCGCTGCGCCACATGAGCCATCCCAGAGGTACCCTTTGCAATCGTGGATGCTTCTTTGCCTGCACGCATCCGACGCTGCAGCTTGATAAGTTGAGCCTTCCCCCTTGCGGCAAGGATCTCTCCAACATGCTTTTGCGTTTCCGCACTGAGCAGTCTTAATGGTGGCATGGTAGGCTGCACAACATGGCGCAGCAGAGTGCTCAAACCAACAACTTCTGTTCGACCTAAGCATGCGCGAAGCTCTCGCAGGCTTGCACTTGCACGGACGTCCCGCGGTGTTGGCGACATTCTGGCAGAGCCGTTCTGCCCATCGAGGTAGCCAACATCCCTGCCCTCCACTGTGTCCAGACCTGACATGCGGTCATACTCTCACATGGTGGCATGCGAGATGGTGGGATATGGTGGGTTTGGGTATTGAGGAGCGGTGGCCATTTGCTGGGTCTGGGCGGGTGCCCCGGCCACACCTAAGGCCTAAGGCATCATCTGCGCGTGCTCGCATTGTTCTTGCTCTTGCCCCTCAAGTCTCCAAATTGCTGTCGACTGCTTTTTACAGGCTTCTGAACCCTAATGCTTTTGCTGTTGAACTTTTCAGTGGATTGAATACAAAGGCCCACAACAGCTTAGGCTGAACAGGCTAGACATGCCACGTCTGAGCACAGCGAACCTAGGAAATCAACCCTGGCACGATGAAGCACAGCATGTGGCAGATCACCATCGCCCTCCAATTCAAGCTTCCTATTCCGCACTTGACCGGACTACGGACCACACCCCTCCTGCACACCTGGCCGAATGTGCGCACATACTTGCCCGAAATCAGTCAACAGGGTCAACAGGAAGGAAGCAAGATTGAGTGACTTTAAGCCGTGATGTTCCATGTTAGCCTGTCAGTCTTCCGTCGAGCCACTGCATCCAGATACCGATAACAGTGCCAGGCCAAAACCAGTCAGGCTGGTGAGGTGGGCAGCTGAAATCTCGAGATTCTGCAGCTCCAGCCTGGCAATCTTTGCAGGCAGATGCAGGCTGCACAGGCTCACAAGGAGCGGTTCTCAATCGTGGTTTCACCTTCTGCTTGCGGACGTCCAGCTTTTGCTTCTCTGGCGGAACTTGGCCTTTTTCTCGGAATCCTCAGCATTTTTCTCACAATACCCAGTTGGACAATGTGGGGTGCTGTTCGTGCCTGCAATTCCCCAGCCCGTAGAGGCTGCAATGTGATGCCCTTCAGGCGCAGATCGAAAGCAAACCTGAGAAGATCACTTAAACACTAGCAAAACTAGCAGCATCTAGCAGCTAAATGCCGCTATGCCTAATTTCATCTAGCCTGTCAGCGTCGAGGCGTTAAGGCAGCAAAACCTGGGTTTACGACCTGAGTTCTTTTACACAGCCTCTGCACATCGACAGCATCACGCAAGACGGCTCATGCGAGCGTGCTTCTGCAAACGTGTTGTGGTTATCGCAATGGCTGAGCCAGGGATTTGCTTCACGAAAATATGTGAACCCCCCTCAACCAAACCCCCTGAACGGACTTGCAGGGCTCCGAGGATTGGTCATCTTGTCTCAGCAGGCAGTTATAAGCAGTTGCTGCTAGTTAGCTAGTTGACTGAGGTGTGCCTTCCGGTTGCTGTCAAGTGACAGGGGAGTGGAACTGGAAGCAGCATGTGCAGATGGATCCCGGTTGCTAGACAGCATCAGCTGCAGGGATGCGATGGAGATGTGCAGGCCATCGAGCATTGCAACCTTGACATCCTTGGCTCAGGCAAAATCTTGTTCTTATCGACCTCAGCACTTTCCATTTCGGGTTTGACTTCCGCTGTAGTGCATAGCACATTGTAGCTTGACGGCTCACTTGTGGTTGACAGACATTTGGAACGTTTCCACCTCTCACAAAAGGCTCCGCTATCTCCCAAACTCCCCTCCAGCAGTGGGTGCTTCTTGTTGTCCCTCACTTTTGCTCCAAGATGTTTCTCTCTCCTGTAGGACAAGACAAGGGTTCAATCAGATTGCTACTTCTTTGATCACATCAGAGCACTCCCACTTTTCAAGTTGGCATGGAGGGTCGATGCAGCGGGTGTACTTCTGAATGTGCTCTTTGCTTAATTAGTGTCTTGTGCATTCCACATACTTTTGTATTGTGCGTTGTAGGTGACTGACTCACGGATTAAGAGAAGCGCCCAGACGTCCAAAAAAAAGCGGGTGTACTTCTGAATGATGCTTTGGTGAATGCACACGCTGAGATGGACACAGACAAACTACAGCAGTGGGAATTCACCTTTGACTCCCCTGCAGGTCCGTGTATCTCAGGTACGCGGATGTAACCCCGAAGGAAAACAGGTGGGGCAAGGGCACGACAACTAACCCGCAAGTAGTGTCCCGCCCATTGATTTATAAGCAAGGTCTCACTGCCGACTGTGGCCTTGGCAGACCCTGAGACTTGCAATTGGGTTGGAGTGAGGGTGGGATGAAAATGGAAATCGTGCGGCTCATGTCTGCCAAAGAATCACGCATGCACCCGAAGCCTGCCAATCCCAAATATACGCACAGATTAAAGCCACGTGCCCAACGTGGACGTTCCTACACCGCTTGATCCGGAGGGTCTGGAACTGGGGAAGGCACAAGGTCTGGAACTGATGACTTACTCTTGCGAGCTCACGCAAGTGTACAGGGTGAGGATTTGCCAAATGCTTCGTGTGGTCTGGAATGGGTATTTGCATGGAACGCACCCGCTGCGCAAGGTCAATTCCAGATATTGTATTCTGCATTCGTAAATGGTCGAGGAAGGGTCTGGAATTTGGAGCTTGTTCCGGAGCTCTGGATCGAGGTCTGGATCGGGCCGTTTTCCCTTGTTCCGGACCTATTATATTAAGCGGTGGCAGATGGGCCTTTTGCAGCGTTGCCTCACCTCAGTGTGGGTCAGCATCGAAATGGCAGAAACTAATGCAGAAGAGTTTCAGATACTCGTACGCTTTTGTGCTCCTCGCGGCCGCATCACCGAGATTTCACAAGAGAGTGCAGAGCAGAAGGGCCTGCATGGCAGTTGCAGAGGCAGTCTGTTTCGCATGTGCAGATGCTGCTGCAGCAGCCAGTGCGAATGTCTCTGCCCAAGCTGCATCGTGCACGTCATGCACCTTCACCTGGCAGTCCGAGGCGACAACGGGATGCCCCTTGCTAGTCACGGTATGCAGCGCCTGCGCACGCACGTGGCCGATCTCCACTCTCAGAGGCCGGGAGCGAAGAGCACTCCAAGGTACCGTCAGCAAGATCCGGTCGCAGGATGCAGCCGAGACCTGCCCCACAGTTCGGCTGCAAAGAGATGCGAAAGGACCGCCAGGGCAGATACCTTTGCCTCCAACGTGTATGGCAGGGTACCGGCAAGGAGGCTCTGCAAAGGCCCGACTTCAAGTTCTGCATCTCTCAGTTCCACCTCTCCAGCAAGAAGTCCTTGGAATGTTGTCACATTGTGGGGATCAGCTGTATCATACTGCTCGCAACTGCACGTTCCCAAACATTGTTTGCCTACTTCCTCTTTGCTAATGCGGACAGACAAGCCAGGTATCTGGATGAAACCTGGTCAGAATTCAAACCACGGATGTACCTCGGAGGAGGTGAAATTTCCTTCGTGTTGGTTGGCTTTGCTTCGCTTGCACGGTCAATTCTCAAGGCACAGCATGGCACAGTTTCACATCCAAGCATTGCCAAGCATGTGACCTGCAGATACCTGAGGGGCCAAGGTGCTTGGACAAATATTTCAGAACCCTCTGCTTGTGCATTCTTCCTAAGACGAGCCATGGCGAGACTTGCAGGCCACACACGCACGCCTTTGTCAGAGGACTACTGCTACCACACTGCTACTCAAGCTGGAAGCTGCCACAGCAGCATCTGCCGACAGTCCCATTCGTCTTCGTTTCAGAAGAAGTGCTGTGCCCTGATATCATGCAAGTGCAACCTAGTGCATCCAAGTGCAACCAACCCACCTGTCTGATCTGAACGGCTGCTGTTTACGACAACAGAACCTTCATTTCACAAGCGCTCAGGTCATGACTTGAGAAGACTCTCAGCTCTGCTCCGCTCTGCTCCCTACTCCGAGTGGGTAACCAGAACCCACAATACGTTGCCACATGTTGCCACTGAATGCCAGTGTTTCAGGCGCTTGTTCTGGCTTTTCTCTAACCCTGCAACGTGCAGAAATCCTTTGTGAGCACAGGTGAAACACTGGTGATGGCACCTACTGCAAGAATCATGTTTTGCCGATTGATGCTGATCGCAGCAAGGCAAGAGGTAGCAAAACTTCGTGGCCCTGAGATTTATGTTGCTTTGCATGGCCCGTATGGCCAATCTTGCTGTCTGATGCATGTGCAAGAATGCCAACGCACAGCACGCTAGCTATGAGTTGAAGTTCACTCCGTAGACGCAGAGGTCATGGCTTGCGACTGCTGAGCCTGCGCACAGAGCATGCTGTTTTGGTGACAGTTCCTTGTATGCATCGGGCGGTCTGCCCTGTCTCACCCGCGGTGCCTGGAAGGCCTGTAGTTCTGCTCCCACCTGACTGCTGTGAGAACTTGCCTCGCACTTCCAGAGATCGCTTGACACGCCTTCGAGTGCACATCCATGAACTTATTCACACACCTCACCAAGGATGCCAGTCAACAACTTTTTTCTGGCACTTCCAGGCCAAAGAGCAAACGACAAATCAGCAAGAGCCTATCTACGCAACTCATCTCACCGACGCTGAGCTTCTCCTCCTGCATTTTGCAGCTCTGCTGGAGTAGATGATGGAGCTGTTTCAGTAGGGTTGCGGAGGCTGGGAAAGCTGTCCTTCACACTGGCTATGCACTTGTTGTAGCAGCTGGCCTGCATCCTGCATTGCCCGGTTTTGCACAACTCCATGCTTTTCATACTGAGAAAGTCATTCTCGCGCAGGCCGCGGCGCGCCAACCTTTCATGATGCCGCCTCAAGGCGACGAGACAAGCCAACCCCGAAAATCATGGTGTGGTCCCTAAACCAACTTAATACATCATAATACTGTCTAGCCGGTCTAGCACCCTTCAAAACGCACATCCCAATAGATGTTCTGAAGTCCAGGGTTTCGCTCGTTGAGGCTGCAAGTTGTTCTTTAACGCTTCCGCTGCAAGGTAGTCGGAGGGCTGCCCTCAGGAAACTCGCAAAGCCTCCAAAACCAGCAGGTCCCATCATGCCAACAAAAGCACCCCTTCGACAGCAATGGCTTTTGATGTCTTTGCTCTGCGGCCCAACTGCCAAATACCTCATGGTCAGGTCTTTCTTTTCTGGTCATTCCGTATGCTTGAGGAAATTATCACCTGGGTTTGTGAAGAACATTCCAAAAGCGCATAAGCCCCACCCCGGCAAGATTTCAGCAAATCGGGCAAATCTCTGATCTGGACATGAGCCTGTCAACACAGATCTGGGAACCGCTTCGGAATCACTTTTCATAAAGGGTGGGACCAACTGCATTTTGGCGACTTCAGCTCCTTTCTGGCAGCCCAAATAGCGCGACCTCATGCACGGCTCCACGTCCACAACATCGCAGCGATTCCTGCGCCGTCTGTGCTTGTTGCTCAACAACATCTTGGCCATCTTCGCGCTCTCGCACAAACGTGGTACGCTGGTACTCCTCATGCTACATCCCGGTATAGCAGGTGCGTTCACGACATTGTCCGGCAGCTCTATTGTGAGGTCGCTGCTTGATCATAATTCCTTGCTCTGGTACTTCGTCTTCTTTTCCGCGTAGAAGCCTGCCCTTCAAAGGTGATTAAACTTGGCTATGAGAATACCATCGCATCCAGCCAAATCAAATTGAAACGAGGCACAGTAAAGGTACACGGTTTGAATTACGAGTTCGCAGGAAGTGTAGGAAATGGGGTATTACAGGTGCTATCACCGCAACCGTTGAGGCAGCCGCGACCAAATGGAACAGGCCAAGCCCTAGTTGATTGCTGTTGCAGGAATCCTGAAGAAGATGTCAGCCATTCCCTTCATCTCTGCCACCATCATGTCAACTGGGCTCACCTGCAGAGGCATCGGAATATACCCTGAAAAACTTCAGAAGGCAACCGGCCTGCGGCTGCTGACCGGCCTGGGCGCCAAGCAAGCTGGCCATGGCCCTGCAAAGCGCGAAGCCACACTTTGCAGCTACAACATGTTGCTTTGATGCGTGCGTTGCCTGCCCGAAATGGGGATTTGCCGTTCGCACAGACAGACTGGGACCATAGAATGACAGCAATGTTGCGGCACGCTTCATGAAGCAGCACATGATGGCACATCCAGAACAATGGTTGCGGGGCCCTTTTGACTGTGTGGGTACACTGAAGCCAATCATTCTTGGCTGGAAGTTGTGGGCTACTGCCCGAAATTCTAACAGATCACATGGTTCCGCCACTGCACACCAGGTACACATCAAGCAGACTTCGAATTGCCTGCAGCGCAGGAACACGCAAGACACAAGTCAAATGTAATCTCATTGGTATTCAGATACGCCTGCCGCGTTTTTTCAGCGGCGGCGCAATGCTTACATTATTGGCATTGCAAATTATCACATCCTAGTGATGCTAATTAAGCTGGGATGTAGCTCCAACAGAAAGTCCAGTTCAGTTCTGGTCACTTCACGCATGCTATGGAAAGTTCCGTGAGGGCAAGATACAGAACTGGAGTGCAGCTACATGCCAGCTGGAGGCAAGCTTGCGCATCGGAAGGTTTGCCGAAATGGATTCACAGTGAACTACTCTTTTTGAATCACATCTGCGAACAGCGCAGGCGCAAGCCGTCTAAAGCTGTCAGCTTCCGCCAATTGCCATAGCACCTGAACCCGGTTCTTACAGTCCAGGATCTTAGGGAAACAGAGCTGCGATCTGAAACCTTGCCGCCTGCTTTCACTCCAGCCCCCAGCTCCCAAATGACTGCTTGCTTGCAGCCGCTGCCAGCTTGCAACCGGTAGCACCCTAATGATTTGGGTATGCACCTTTGCTGGTGGTAATTCCGCAGATCTTCTGCGTCAAATCATCCAAGTGCGCCTGCACAAGCAATGCTCCGAAACTTTGCCACCTGAGAAACACTGCACCCGCTGTCACACACTACAGGCCGTGTGATTCGTCACGGACTTGGGGTATCCATGTGCCTGCGTTGCTTCACAAGCAAGAGGATGGATCTCGAGAGCACAAGCTGGACACGGACACGGAAAATGCTAAGTGGCTTGGCCCGAGATGGCGCCGTCTGAGGCCTGGAGTGAACAGGATGTAAACAGGTCTCTGCGCTCGAACCGTCCCGCAGGCCTGGCAGAGGTTTTGGAACCATCTGTCCGGTTCAGTACCTCGGCTTTGAAAGAGCTTCGGAGGCGAGCTTGTAACGAGGGGAGGCTGAGGGAGTTGATGTAAGGGGCATTTAAGGGGTATGCGGTATATAGAACAGGGTAGCTGCCCTCCTGTACTTGCCCTAAAACAAGATCCAACACACCCGGCATCAGTGTGTGATGGCTGAGAAAGCTGAGTTCAAGACTATGCTGGAAAGTTGTCCTGGTTCGCAGGCTTAGAAGAAGTTGTAAGCTTGACCGTTGATGACAACTTTTTCGCTCAAGGGTAGACACCGTGTGATGCTTCAGACTCGTTTAGTCCCCAAGACTACTTTTGCATCTAGCCTTAACCACGACGGCGTGACATGCTGATGTGTTGGCCAAGTTGCCAAACGGAATGCGTCTTTAAAGACTCATGTGAGGCTCTGCTAGCTGCTAGCCTTTTTGTGAATTCATATGCCACACATCTCTTCCTGGATCTGCATCGGCGTCGCGCCCAGCCACCCAGGCATGCTGAAGGAGTGCAGATGCCGATGGCCTCAATCTGATGAATGCAAAACATGCTGGAAAAACCTTTGGATCTTGTTCCGGCCTTACAGCAGCATCTTTGCGCATGACTCCCCGGATGAGTCGCTTCTGAGCCTCACCTAGGCCATTCATCGCAACGAGCAAGAGGAACAAGCGCTAATCTCGCTTGTAACGAAATTTTGACTCATGTGAAAGGTCAGCCATCTCGAGGTGGGAGCATGGTTATGCGTTCTATCCTCCAGATTATCGTGTGCTTGCAAATGTCTAGTACAGGTTTACGTGAGGTCAGAATTGAGGGTAGGTTGTGAATCCTACTTTTTGAGGGGTTGTTCAACAATTTGTGTCCAAGAAATCGGCCCTTCGCGTATCCCTTCGCGGCCCTTGCACAAACACCATAAAACTCAACTAGACCCCGACTATCTCGAAAACAATCGGCGCGTATCTGGCTGTGTTCTACGTGCTGCGGTTGTGGTGTTGGTGCGGTGTAGGCGCCACAGCAAGCGCTGGCGGCTGCTGTGCCACCTTGCCGCGCAGCTCAGCCAGAAAAAAGTCCGCTGCAGTCCCCGCCGACGAGCTGGCCGACGACGGAGCCATGGCTAGGAAAAGCCTAAAAGTTTTCTCCGGGTGCTGAGTTTCGTTTCCCTGGTGAGAAAGCTACGGCCCCCTTCGTGATTCAAACTGTAGCCAAACCCTGTGGTCTAGCGCCGCTACGAACAAAATAGAGGCGGTGTAGGTTCTCTGGTGTAGGTACGGTGGTGTACGTGGGCGGTGAGGGTGTAGGTGTGCAAGACATCTCGAAAAGTTGTTATGTAAGGCAGAAGCTGCACACAAATCCATGCGTGCCGCCAGCCCAAGTCGGCCCTGAGGTCACATAGAGAAAGCATCCACCATAGTCCAGGATCAGGCGACTCGCTTCTGGGAAAAAGGTGTGGGACTGCGCTCATGGACCAACAGCCGCCAGGCGCGGTTGCTTGCATGGTCTCGGAGCCTTCCGGGAATCTCTTGCAGTGAACCGGGGGGCTCCAGGGAGGACTGAGCCCATGTCCGTTATTTGGTATCAGACTGGCTTCGCTGCAAGCAAGCGTAAAGGAGCGTGACCCGTAACCGCGACGGCATCCTTGCCTGATCTGGAATGGCGATCCTGCCTCTTGGACTGAATATCGCCGAGCGGCGCTGCTGTATGCGAAGACAACCAAATGGGAGACAAGGTACCTATGCGGCCCGAGACTGGCCAGCGGGACCTGCCCGAGCTTCCGTTGTCAACAAGAAGGCACAGTGGTTGTCATCTCCCGAGGGTGTGCAGCGGCTGCTGGCACACTTACAGAGCGCCATCTCGGAACCGATTCTGCCAAAGGTCGGGAACACACTGCGCTCGTACTTCAAGCACTTGCACAGGCGCAAAGGTGAGACAATGACCAACTTTTGCGCGCGACATCGTGAAGAATATGAAAATGTGTCGGGCCCTGTCCCGAATGGTCAGGGACAACAAGACACACACATCTTCGAAGAGAAGCCCCGAACAAGACGCACCAGCTGGCCGAGCGTGGCCCAACAGAGCCGCGAGACCTCAGGGCCGATGGCCCAACGTGACAGTGCGGAACATCCAGCATTGGGAGCTCTCGGCGGGTTCATAAGCCGGAGGTGAAGATCCCGCCGCCAGAAGCACGAGCCCACCAGCGACCAAGAAAAGACTCAGCTACGAGCCCTACTTGGAGCTCTCAGTTGGCACGTGGGCCAAGTGGGCCTGAAGCACAGCGCACACAGGCCTTTCGCTATCCGAAGTAGGTCAGAGCACAGTGAAGCACTTGGAGCAGGCAAACAAGTTGCTGCAAGCGGTGAAGCAGGACAGCAAGGTCCCACTCCTCATCCATGCTTTTCCTAGCGACACATGATTGTCCATGGTTTCTTGGGTGGACGCGAGCTCCCAGAATCGCCATGACAGCAGTTCCACAGCTGGGATTATCATCGCACTCGATGTTCTGGCGCTCTGGGAAGATTGAGAGAGTCTGCAGGTCTCCAGGAGCTGCAGAAGCCAGGGCGGCGGTTGACGCCGAGGACGATCTGTTCTTGCTGAAACATGCTTGGGCGGAATTTTGTGGACATTAAGCAGATTCGTGGGCTCCAAGAGAACACGTACGCAGTGTGCCCAGAAACGTGTTGACATTGAACTTTTGGCCATCAAAGAATCTGAAAACCGTACGGGTCTTGCTGTTCGATGGGTCCATTCTGATGCTCAACTTGCTAACACCTTAACGAAGAGGAGTGAAGAACATCAGGTTAGTCGGTTAATCGTTTCCAGGCCATGGGGCAGCAGTGGAGAATAGATGGTCCTGACACGTTCTCTGGGAGAAAGCGGAAGTCAAAGGGCCTCAATCCCATTCATGATTCCTCTGGGATTGACTGTGAAGTGTCGAATGATACCTCACACTCAGGGCACACAAGACATCTCGAAGAGTTGTTATGTAAGGCAGAAGCTGCACACAAATCCATGCGTGCCGCCAGCCCAAGTCGGCCCTGAGGTCACATAGAGAAAGCATCCGCCATAGTCCAGGATCAAGCGACTCGCTTCTGGGAAAAAGGTGTGGGACATCGCTCGTGGACCAACAGCCACCAGGCGCGGTTGCTTGCAAGGTGTATGCGAGCCGTGTAGGTGATGTTGTGGGCGGTGTAGGCGCCGTGGTGCACTGGCGCGGTGCAATTACTGTTGTGTATGTGCGCGGTGTAGGCGTCCAATCTGGCGCGGTATGTTGCTGTTGTGTGTGTGGGCGGTGTAGGCGGATGGATTTCTCAGGACGCCCCACGCGCCAGCGCTGCCACGCGCCCAAAACAGCGAGAGAGTCGTCGTTTCCAAGCAAAAATTCTCAGTTCTGAGGGCCTCCCCGCATGAAGGTGAAAATTCGCACGGCGCCACAGCGACAGCGTTTCGACACGCACGATCCCCGCAGAGGGTTCGCCGGCCACGTTGAAAATTCGCACGGCGCCACAGTGAGAGCGCTTCGACACGCACGATCCCCGCATAGGGTTCGCCGGCGAGCTTGAAATTTCGCACGCCGCCGCAGCGAGAGCGCTTCGACATGCACCATCCCCTCAGAGGTTTCGCCGGCCGCGTTCAAAATACGGACGGCGCCACAGCGAGAGCGCTCCGACACGCACAATCCCCGCAGAGTGCATCCCACCGACCCCCCCCAACCCACCCCAGGCTAAGAAATTAAAGGACCGGAGAACCCCACATGTGTTGTTTAACCTGAATCTAAGTGAGATAATATGAGGATGCCGTCGCCCGCCGAAATAGAAGAACAAGAAGACGAGACGATAACTGGGGAAATGATTCGCTGAAAGGTCTAAGAGGGGCACCCCTTGCGATGTGAGATTTGAGGACTTGATTTTCTGAAAAATGTTAGGGGGGCACCCCTTGCCATTTGAGATTTGAGGACTTGATTCTGTG